TCAGGATGCGAGTCATCTCTCCATACAGCACTAAAAACACAACACAGAACACATCCAGCCATTTAGAGCTGAAATAGTAATCAATTAGTCTAATGACAAAAAAATAACTGGCATCGATTTTGATAATCGATGCATGTTTTAAATCATTTTTCAAGGAAAAGTGACATCAGTTAACCGGCTCTAGCTTCTCAAATGTGAAGATTTACTTCTTTTATTTATTTTCTATGTAGTAAACTGGATCTCTTTGGGTTTCTGGACTGGTTTTTAGACAAAACAAAAAACAATCAAATATATCAACTTGCATCCTGGAAAAATTAAAGGGGGACTTTGCTACTTTTTGATATTCTATAGACCAAACGATTAATCAAGAAAATAACTGGCAGATCAGAGTTCTGCATCAAAATAAAATATAATAGGAAAAGACCTCTATGATATATATTCATATATATAAAAAAAACATTTAGAGCTTTAAATAGTTTGATATAACATCTTATACCTCTGCAGAATCTGCACACACTCAGATCATTTTTAGTCTGTACCTCTGATCCACTCTGCACGGGGTGGAGCTTGGATGTTGAGCAGCTTCTCCACAGCCAGAGAGTAGGCCTGCTCATTACACATCATGGAAACATAGTCCAGACGGTCAAAGTAGGGCAGAGCCTGTACCAGACAAAGAGGTGGAAGTGAAGCATATGGGATAAGGGATTTCCAAGTAGGTAAGTAACACATGACACGTGGTAATCGCATTTTTAAATGTTCCTGAATCACTTCTGTTGGCAAGTTTTAATTTTGTCATTTTCAAGGGAGAGGTTGGGTTGTTCTCCATTGCTCTTGTGCAATCTAGTTTTTAAACAGGTCAGTCAAACTCATGTAGTATTCATTCTCCATAGTATGCTGTTGCATTAAAAACAACAGAAGGCGGCATTCTGCAAAAAGCTGAACTGCAATTTACTGTTTGAGTAAACCACTACTGTTGTTTTTTTAAACTCGGTTAAAACCAAGAACAGCACCACTGTTTCTATTGTTCCTCATTTCACAGCCTTCTTTACATGCATAGTAATACTAATACTAATTCAACTGTGATCAAACAGATATGAGTTCGAGAATACAGAAACAATATAAACAGATATTGTAAGTAGATCAGTACCTGCAGGTAGGTTTTGTACTCGATGAGCTTCTCTGTGCCACGGTGAAGCAGGCCAATGTGCGGGTCACATTTCTTGACAGACTCTCCACTCAGCTCCAACACTAGACGCAGCACACCATGAGCTGCAGGATGCTGGGGGCCAAAGTTGATGGTCAGGTTGGACACATCCTTCTCTGCAGGAGGATCCTTGTCTGACAGAAAAAACAATATAGTAGAAGATGAGGAAAATGTAATCTTTTAGAGTAAAAAAAACGCGTATTGCTTCGGGATTTGACTTTTCCATCCAACTGACACATGTTTACATACTAGGGATAAGCACTTTTACAACCCAGACACTTTGTGACACATTACAGGTCAGATCCCAAAAATAGTAATGGCGTGTAACACTGCATTTCTTATCATCAAACCTAAAACCATAAACTCATAGAAACGGCACATAAACGCATAGAATCTTAATAAAGGATGGAGGTGGACAGACAACACCAGGAACAACAAGTAGTAGTAAGAAGTAAGTCATGGACTTAAGTCAAGGGATGTTTTTCATGAATTATAATGTTGTAAGCTTTTACACATCCTTTGACAATGCAACATTTCTCATTTGATGTAAATAAATAATAGCTTTTAAAAAAAATATTAACAGGAATCAGTGGTCTGAAAAGTGTGACTGTGTCTGTGGATGGTAGTACCATTCCATGGGGGTGGGGACCATTTCTCATTAATGGCAGTGGGGTACATCACTGCCCCAGCAAACTGCTCAGTCCACTCCACATCTGGCTGCCATTGTTTCTGCCTGTGAAACACATGAACACATGAGGTGAGGCTGTGCTGGGGACCGTCAGCTCTGGGCCAAAACAGATAATTGTGGAGATGCAAAAACATGCTAATAATCAGACTGCCTGCATGTTTCATGTTAAAGAGGCTTTAATCTCATTTTTTTGAGGCTATCATTTGGAGCAGGTGATGATCTGGGCTTCACTGTGTCTGCCAACCTAATCTGTCTGATGACTGAAACGCACAGACAAAATGTATATGTCACGCTATGATAACAAATGAGGTTATTAATGCTAATTGTTGCATGGGAATACATAGCCACAAAAAAGTGGCAAGTAAGTGTAGTCCTAATGTGTCAGAGTAGGTCTATAACAAGCCTATATGGTCACCTTGACTGTGGTGCTGCACATAAACATAAAAACCATTTCAGAGAGACGTCAAAGCTGATTTTAATGACTACAAGTGTTTTAAAGTTAAATGCTTACTTTACTTTTGTGCTGTTAAGGTTAAATTCTTCAGGTTGGCTAGCATAGTCGCAGACAGACACTATTTACTCTTGTACATTAGTCAGCTCTACTGTGATTTAATTTACACCGTCTTTACCAGAAAGTAGTCAGTTTTGTTTATGAGCACTGAGCACAGAAGGTGCATAAAGTCTGAGTGGTAAACAGTGACACACGTTGGCTTATGAGACAGCTAGCAGTTGCAGCTAACAGGTAACAACCAGACAGCAGGAAAGCTAACGTATCCTGCGACGTACGCGAGCTGTTAAGGATGTCATACGTATTATATTTATGTACGTGCCTAAAACAGGCGTTTCCCATTCAGAAAGTACATTTAGTAGCAGACGACTCGTGTTATTATATCACATAAAATCGGCTTATCTAGCATTATGCTAACATTAGCCTCTCGGTGTGCATATTTTTATTGGAGCTCAAGCGAAGATGGCAGGCAAAACAACGGTCACACGAAGCGTCACATTCTTTTTTATTGTTATCTTACCTGTTTTGCAGAACAGTGCAGCCAGGGCTCAGCAAATTATTACTTAATATTAATTTTGTTGAAGGACGTCCTAGTTTAGTAACCGACCTCAACATCGTGGCAGCCATCTTGGTTGACAGGCAGCCTCTGGCCAATGACGTAGATGCGTTTCTTCTTCTGTTGTTTTAGAATTGTGTAGGGCGCGTGTCCGCCACCTATCAGCCACCTATCGCCATGACGTACCCCAATTTAGAAAGTATGTGTTTATGGGCAGTGTAGTTTTTCATAAAACCTGGTTCAAACATGTGTGATGAATATGGGCTAATTGTCAGGCCTTTATGTGACTTCTAGAGGTTAATAACATAGAAAACAACTACCAGGAGAAAAAAAACATGTTATTTCTATTATGTATATCATTATTTTAATTAAAAAAACAAATCTCCACTTTTTAAAGGTCCCTGCACTCATATACCTGACACATTTTTGAATGCTTTATTTGTAGCCCATGCTGTAAAATTGCCATGAACAAACAATCACAATGTATGCTATTTTATGTATATTTAAATATAAAATTATTCTTTGAATAAACTCTATACTGCTGTGTAAGAATATAACACAGGTTTAAAATTTAAATTCACCCAATACCAGCAGGTGTATGTTAAAATACCCATCTGCTTAAAGAAGAAAAAACTCTGCATTTTATAAAAAACAGTGCTTTTATTTATGTAATACTGTGGAAAAATAATTACATACCATTTTTAAAAAATATTGAAGATAATGAAATTAAAAAATGAGAGTTTAACGTTCGTTGTACATCTTTTGAACAGTTTTCTCTGCTACGAAGAACAGTACAATAAGATAAACATTGGATTTTTCTAAATTCAAAGACACAATAATACAGGATACAGTCCTACCAGAGGTATAAAAGTACTGTAAGGATTGTGAGAGAAATGATATGGACATATACTGAAACACACACCCGCACACTTGGACACAGACATGCACACACACACACACACACACACACACACACACACTCACACATTCTGTATACACACTGACATGCATACAATGCCGCGCGCACACTCGAGTCGGGCGCTGCGTGTTTACAGTATCCTTCCCATACACACGCAGTCATTCACACATCTATACAAACACACTGTACAAATCGATGTGCGCGCCAACGCCCACACACTCCCTCTTGATCTCTCTCTCTCACACTCACACACACACACACACACACACACACACTCACACAGTCATACACTACTACATGTCAATATTGTGGACAAGCCTTCATTAAACCTCTCCATACATATTCTCCTCTGGCCGTTTTGGCAGACAGACGATGAGGAATGATTCAAAATGGAAATGTATGACATGTTCCCCTGTAAGGCCACTCAGTTCTCAACCCAACATCTGTGTTTTTCTCTCTGTCTGCACCAGGCTTGTAGTTAAGAGCTGAGAGAAAAAGGCTCCAGCCTACGAAAATGTCTGGGAATGACTCAAGCCTGGTTTGTAAAGCAACAGTTGCCAAAAGAAGGAGCTTCTACTGCATATACATGGTCTAAGGTGAAGAACAACATGAACACTTGGCACTAGGTTTCTCTCATACACTGATATACCCTTCTGATGTGAAGTCAGTCCTGATTTCAGGCTCTGCTGTTGGCACAAGTCCTCACTCCCGTCCCGTCTCAGTGGATTTCACTCAGGAAAACTCCTGAGTCATGTGCGCTCACGTTCAAACTTTTGGTCCATACATACACATTAAATGTTTTACATTGACAAAAATAATTCTGTAATGTTAAAAAATAGAATACAAAGCTCTAGTCTGGTGTGCAAATAAAAAGAAGACATTACACAGATATAGATAAGGGACGTCCAAGCACGAATACTGTAGATGCAGTGCAAAATGATGACAACCCTCCCGACCACCATCCCCAGCCCCCAACACACTCCCCCACGCTGCCTAACAGGCATGATGGCATGTACCACTGTACAGAAGGGCATTCTGGGATACTATATATATATGTGCTCTATGATCATTGAATAAGACAACCAGTAAAAAAAAAAAAAAAAAAAAATTTAAAAATGGCGGCCAGAAATGACTTCCACTGGTTGAGGTTTTTCCCGATCAGTGTGTACCATATTTGACAGTCAGTCAGTTTGCCTTAAGACGTTCAACCCTCATCATTTACAAAGTCAGTTCATAGCAAAGGCTATGGGCTCCAAAGATCTGTGATCTCTCCTCCTCTCTCTGGTTCTTGTTCTTCTTTCCCAGTCTTGATTGTGACTTGCGCCGTCCGCTCTTTCAGAGCTCAGATATACAAACACGTCGGGAGTGAGGGAATTCAAAATTGTGTGGAATTTCCCTTCCCTGTCTCGCTAAAACTTCTTTTTCTCCACTCGTCTCTTTCTGTCTCTCTGTGTTTCTCATACCCTCCCTGTCTCATGGGCATGGTCTTCTGACTCTGTGCATGGGTGTGTGCGATGTTTTTTCTTTTCGTGTTCTGCAGTCGTGTTTGTGTTCAGTAGGGTGTGTTAATGTGTGCGTGTAAATCTGTGATTGTGTGTGTTTTTTAGATGTGACGCTATTTATAAGATGCTTCCTCATGCTCAGCTAAGACTGTGAGGTGGTTCTGCGTCTCCGTCTCTCACACGTGAGTCTGCATCCTCTGTGTGTGTCGGCTGTGGGAGTAGTCAGAGTGTTGCGAGGTGTAGGAGAAGCGAGTGGAGCTGCCGTACTTCCCGAGTCCAGTCTCTGATCCCGAGGGAGCTGGGCCCCCAGGACCGACCCCAACCCCGGGGCCCCCCACCCCAGATCCTACACTGTACATCTCGTAGGATGGGCCAGCCTCCAGCGGCGCCAGGCTGGATGGGGCGAAACCCATGCGGTAGGTCTGGTAATGCGAGGGGTATCCGTAGTTGTCGTAGGCCAGCTGAGAAGTGGAGTCCAGGAGGCTGCAGTCCCCCGGGAAGTCGCTGGCTGCGGGGGCGGGGTTGGCAGGGGGCTGCTGGCTCTGGCCCCCACGGGTGAAGGTGTTGAACTGGGCGTAGCTGATGTGGGACAGTCTGGATGGGGGTCGGGGGTCGTAGCAGGCCTGGGGGCGGCCAGGAGAGGTAAGGGGACCGGGGGGACCGGGGGCTCCTCCGCTGGCCGTGGCTCCCGAGCCGGCGGCACTGCTGCTAATAGATGCAGCTCCCCCTGGTGTTCCTGTAGGGGAGCGGTAGTCGGAGTAGTGCATGGTGGAGCGGGAAGCAGGGCGGCCTTCATCGTGGGTTGAAGCTCGCACGTTGTAGTAGCCATTAGTGGGGTCCTGAAGAGAGAGACAGAGTGGGCATTAAAGGTCCCATATTGTATAAAGGTAGATGTCCATGTGTTGTTTGATTATAAAGCAGGTCTAGGTTCTATATTAATAAAGCGCTCAGTCTACAGAGAAATGCACACAGCCTGTATTCAGAAACTGAGCCTTAAAACCAGCCGTCAGGACTTCTGGGACTTTGTGATGTCACAACAAAAAAGTCCCCGCTCTCAGCCACGCCGCAAGCCGTGGACCCATCATCCAACCTTGCAGGATTTGGTTTCTCTGAGTGTTTACCTGAAATCTGCTATATATTTATTCTAACACTCAGAAAACAGTCAGCCAATGCGAAGAGAGGCTCAGAGCCTCCTCTCTTCTGATTGGCTCACCAACCCGTTGTTACCTGAGCTCCAGAAAGAAGCTCCAGAAAAAACTGTAATGGGGGTTCTGGTCAAAATATTTTTTTATATGCCAGTGTACAGATTGTTAAGGTCAAAAGTATTGTATAGTAATAATATTATACTACACTATAGCACAATACTATACAATATAATACTATACTATACCACTATAGTGATATTATAATATGATTATGGTCAACTCTGATCCCCTTGCCCTTGTAGAAGGTCAGAGGTAAGGGTGAACTGCTCGCCTGGAGCTGGTCAGCATCCAGGTTCTGATTCATTAAGACTGTGCTGTGAGGGCAGATGGCTCCTTTTTTTTTGTGACTCAGCTGCTTGAGACCAGAGTCTCAGTCCTTTTCAGAAATATCCGCAAGTAAAGTTGTGAATAAAACAGGCTCTGCAAAAACTGCACAAGCAAATTACAATTACAGTTACAAACTATAGGAGTAATCCACAACGACCGGGATCACAGAGCAACCCCCGAAATGATGTCAGGCGTTGGTGAGAAGTAGCAGGGTGCATATCTTTATCTCTAGTGACCTTTAATAAATATTCCTAGAGAACAATAAAGAGATTTGAATTAAAATTACCAAAGCATGACGTTGAAAAAAATGTCTGCTGTCTCTATAAAGATTTATAGCACATACTGTATATAGTTTATACAAATTTTCATAGTGTACTGATTTTGCAGCTAGTACACAAGAAATCAATGTACCATTTGGCACTAACAGGAAAATAATACAAGATTTGTGCATGTGCACATCAATCAAATGGCAAATTACGAAACACACTGTCTAATAAACCTTACAAAGGGAAAAGTAAGTTATTTTTTGTTTTCTGACGTGTGCAAGGAGATGTCTCACCAACATCTACATCTGTTTTAGTTTGTTCTGGCTGTGAGCAGCCCCTTCATTTCCTTTTCAAAAACAGGCTCCAACAGCAACACTCTCAAAAATCATTTCTTGGCATGTACGCAGAGCTGTAAGTATAACTTGAGTTATACTTGTCACGTTTCCAGTGTGAGCAAACTATATACTCAAAACCTGCTTTAAAATATTATATTATGTTGCATGGAAATGGATCACAGATTTCATTTCCATAACCAGGTTAACAAGAAAAATCGGATATTTAAATACCCATGTTTTACTCCAGGCCTCTTTAGCGGAGTGGATCCCTGCCAACAAGCAGGGTCGACCTCAGGTTGTCTGGGTGAAGGAAGGATACGCTCCCTGCTCATTACCCCTGTTGCTTTACTGCTATTTCTGACATGATTCTCCCATCTGATCATCTCTCACGTACGCAGACTTCTCCCCCCACCCGACTTTGTTTCGTTTCTTTGGTGCTTCAGGCAGCGAGAAGAAGAGAAGAAAAAAAAAAAAAAAAGAAAAGCAGTCTGGCTGAGGCTGTTGTCGGGGTGATCTAACCACCTCCTGGGGTGGATTCATGTCTGTATTTCTTCAAAGTGATCCAAGGCAGCACTCCAGCTAGAGGGGTGGCGTGTTTGCCCTCACAAAATATTCATGGGGGGGAGTTTCAGCAGAACATTTTGGCAGCTTCACGCGTGAAAATACATTCATCACCTTAGCCCAACCCCACGGTGTCAAAATGTATAAATGATTCATGCCGGCTGAATGGGCATAATACGCCTGAACTTCCTTTGTTCTTTTTCAATTTGAGTTTTTTTTTTTTTTTTTTTTCCCGTGCTGTCTTTAAATATCTTGGAGATGAGCGAGCCAAATTTCTAAGTAATCAGAGAAGCTAGTTTCCTCACAGTTGAGAGTGAAGGGCAGAGAAGACAGAAGGACATCCAGCAATTAAAACAAAAAAAAAGTCTGACTGCACTGCAAAAACATTCCTGTCTTAAATATCCTACTCTGTTATTCTCACAGACACTGGTTAAAGATTTCCTACAAACACACTACCGGCACATGAAAGTCCTCATCAGCTGCTTTTGTTGATTAGTCCAAATGACGACCTGGCTGAAAATCAGAAAAATCCTTCTAGTGAGGGTTTCTTCTCTGCTTCACAGCCAACAACATGTTGCCCAGAAAAAAAAAAAAAAACGAGGCAGCTGATGCCAATAAATAAACACATCAACCCAAACTGGATATATACCGTGGAAAGAGGGAAACTAAAGGACAGACAGAGGTCTAACACAGCTGTGCTGAGAGGGAGGTTTGTGTTGATACGGAGGAATAGTCATGATAAGTCATGCTTGTTGGCTCACAGCAGTCAAGGCTCACTGTATATACACTGTACAGCAGAGGTCACTAACAGACGTACAGTATAACCTGTAAATTATTGAGAATTATTACATTTTGACGGAGCGTTTTCTATTTTAACTGGCACAGCTCATCTAGCCTTTACAGCGCAGGTCACGTGACGCTACTCAGCCAATCGCTGCAACAGGAGTCAGTCACTGGGGTACACACACACACACACACACACACACACATACACAGTGAGGGACGAAGTAAGTGTGGAAAGTGATATAGAAGAGCGAAAGAAAAAGAAGAGGACATGTTGAGATTGTTCTGGACCTTTGCTTGAGAAAATGTGGTCAAAGTGAACTTTTTGATTTTTGATTGAATAGTCCTCCTGTACAGTAAAATAGTTACTAGATCAGCGGATCCCAACCTGTGGGCTGCGGCCCACCAGGGGGGCACAAAGTTATTGCAAGTCGGCTGACAAATCATTTGCAAAACAGTTCAATTTTGGTTAAAAATGGAATTATAAGAAAAAGAAATTTACACATAAATATTAAATGTTTTAAAATGAAATGATTTTTTAAAAACATTAAGAATGTTTAAAAACTCTTTTCAGTGTTTTTTCCTCTCATATTAAAAGCGATCACTGTGATGAGCCGCTGTGGAGCTTCCTGCACGTTTCTCCTGCTTTCAGTTCAGTCTTGAATGTTCCATGGTTCTCATTAGAACAAACAGCGCTCTGAGAAAGACATCGTTTGGCCTCTGTATTGTTCTGGGGTCGGATGTCGGCTGCCAACGTTTTAGAGATTTTCAAAATCCTGCCCATGCCGATCAAATGAAGGGCAATAGCAACTGAAAAACATTTACGCTAGTTTTATCATCATCAGGATTTTAACAACTCAGCTTTAAAACACTGCAATAAAAGACTTAAGAGGTTTTTCATGAGGTTAATAAGCCACTGGAGCGAAACAACAATAACCTCTGAGGAGAAGATGTGAAAGAAAAAGAGCGAATTATCAATAACGACACCCCTACTGTTTATATTCAATATTTAGAAATGAGATAATTGGTACAAACTTTGCTCCTGACACCAGTTTGTTCACCAGTTTTACTGGGAGTCACTTGCCAGTTTGATTCTGTCCTTGATGTCTGTCAGCTGTCTGACGACTGTAGCCCAAACCAGATTGTAGCTGTTTATTCAAATCCCTCTCCTGTGTTTACTCCTGACTCTTCTGTATGCACATGTGCCCCCTCTAGAGGGTTTTGTAATGGATTTCTTGAATCAGCCTTCAGAAAATGTTTAGTTTAAGATTTAAAAATGGTGGTGAAACTGCCACGAACTTTCACTTATGGAAACGCTTGTTTATACTTCCACTGGTGGGTGATTGATCACCTCCGTTACGGCAGTGATGACACGAGATGCTGCAATCAATCAATGGACTCATTTGGAGATCAAATATTTATAACTGAGGGTTTGTTCCAGTAGAGAAATGTCAGTATGCAGATCCTCTGAGTCAGTTTCTTTCAGCCTGTAAGGTACTCTGAGTGTCATCCTAGGTGACAACAACACTGTACATCACTGGATGAAGGTCATCACTCAGAGTCACCATGTCAGTAATGATTAGGATATTTGCAGCCCTTTGAGGTATAATTAGATTGAAACCTTGCTCCAAAATGAAGTCAACAAGACCACTCTCATGTCAGTGTTGTCTTTATCCTGGCTCTATATCATTTGTATGTGTTTTTGTGAGTCTTTTAGTAGGAAAAAATCAGTTTGTTTAGAAATCTGCTTCCTGAAGGATTTGATAGAAGTGAGTGTTTCTGGCATCCGTGTGCTCTCACCTTTAGGTCGTACTCCTGGCGGGTGTCCAGGGTGTCGCTGCGGAGGTCAGACTTGAGCTCTATGTCATCCTTAAAGGGCTGATTGGAGGGAGAGAAGGACACAGAGGGGAGAAACTAAACCGTCAAACAAGAAAACAAAACAAAACAAAACAAAAAAAAAAAAAAAAAAAAAAAAAAAAAAAGGAGAGAAGGTGCCATAACAAAAGAGAGGAGGGAAGGAGGTAACAGAGTGTGACAGGAAAAGAGAGAACGGGATTAAAAGTGTTAAAAAGGGGCGGTTACAGGGGAAAGCATTGAGTGTGTTTTTAGTCAAAAGGTGTAGCGCAGGGAGAGGTTACTGAGTTAATCTGAGGTTTTTTTCTACAGCTACAGGCTGTGTAAACAGTGTCCCGCTGCTGCTCACCGAGTACATGGCCTTGACCATGCGCGAAGCCGTGGACACGCTGCCGGAGTCCTCCTCTAAGCTGTGGGTCTCCTTGTTTATGGTCTCCACCTTGATGTCGGGCTTACCCAGCGTGACCCCGCGCCGACCTGGAAGCAAAACACACGGCAAGGTTGAATACAGCTGGACACACGCAATCCCGGGGGCCGGCGTGTTTTCACGAGCCGGGGGAGCGAGTTCAGAGGGGACCTGGATCCAGACGGTGCAGGGGAAGCAGTTTCCTTCGGTTTTGCTTGCGACGTGTAGTGATGAGCATTTAAAAACCACAAGCGTGAAAACTTCTGCTGTACTTATGAGTAAAGCGCATGGAGAGTATGACTCACTGCCTTTGCGCTGCCGGTAGAAGATGAGAACGAGGACGAGCAGGAAGATGAACAAGAGGATGGTGGAGCCCACTGTACCGCCAGCGATTATTCCCACCGGGACCTCCTCTGAAAAATGAGAGAGAGAGAGAGAGAGAGAGAGAGACAGAGACAAATAGTGAGTTGGGGATTGCACAATCAAGATTTTAATGTGGGAAATACCACAATCTTATGAACCTTAAATCACACAAAGGTACTTCAACCCCAGTTACTGAGACAATGTAAATTTGTGCTAATTTGTCCAAATTAAATTCTGGTGTTGGGTACAAATGGATTTCAGATTCAGACTACATGAGATAAATTGCTTCTTGTCTTTTTGGTGTCTCAAAGTACAAAGCATCACGCAAATTCACTGACAAATCAATGAGAGTGAGACATTGGACGTCACCCGCTACTGAGTCAAATCACCTGAGATTTAAGCTATTCTTTTCCCACTTCGGCATCTCACATTTCACAGAGGATGTAACTTTATATTGGGATGTCAATATCAGGATATACAAATAGTCTCATAGACCAAAGCATCAGATCGTAAACTCAAAATGCATGTGCAGCGATTCAGTCCACAGAGGTCTGAGGATCAGAACGTTACTATAAAAGTGAATATACGATATCAACCGCCTGCAGAATCGTTTGTTTCTTTTGATATCGCAAATAAGTTTTCTCAATCTCGATGGTGAAACAGGCGTGTCTGCTTTTGGTTAATCTCGTGAATGGAGTACCTGATTGATCAAAATACGTCATTGCATTAATGCAAGAATCCAATATTGCCATAGGGGGAGTCCTACTCAGTGTACAATCAGGGTATATATTGCATTTAGAAAACACTATATGTGTTGTTTTTAAGTTATTGTTTGATTGGTGGTGTAATAAATAATTTGAACCCTTGAATGTTTTGCTGTCGAACTGAAAAAGAAAAGCGTTTTCCTGAAGAAACCACTGCGTGCTGCTGTTGTCTCATCCCAAATTCACAAGGCAGATCTAGTGTGGGATTCAAAACGCACCCGTCTCCTCCAGCGTGATGATCATGGTGCCGGGGCCGAATGAGTTCCAGGCCGTGCAGTTGTAGGTGGACAGGAAGTCGGACTCCATCACGTTGTTGATGGTGAGGGTAGAGAGGACGCCGCCGCCCTCGGCTGACGATTTGCTCTGCTCCACCGTGTACCTCTCCAGAAGCGTCCCCTTCTCCTTCTCCCACACGTTCTCCTTCCACGCCCACACCTGCAACACACACACAAACACACACACACACACACACACACACACACGCACACATTTAGTTAAGACATACTTGGAATACATTTATTATACTCATGGAGGTTGTGTGACTAAATTCCATTTATCATTAGTAATTTAAATAATTAATAACAATAAATAATTCAAATTTTCTGAATCCCTTCTGACCCACATGCTTTCAGAATTTCCCTCCACTCACTTCAGTCTACCAGTAAAAACCAACCCACTTCAAACAGAGCTGTAATACACAAATACAAAACACTGTAGACAGTAAATTACCAAATCACACATTAATGTGCTTTATTTAACATGTCACACTTGTCATAAACGCAATATGAAAGAGCTTTTGCACATCATGTGACACTGTATGTTGAGTCATGATCCTGACTGACTCAGCCACACATACACTAGGCCATTAATGAACACTTGATTTAGGAATACATAAGTGACATGGGGAGAAGATCTTAACTTGAGTCTTGAGGATGAATTTGTTTTAGCAGCCAAAAAGTAGACACAGGAATTACATTTAATTTGAGAATACAGTGTATCTGAGACTACAAATGAATTCTTCAGCCTGTCCCAGATGTAATGTGGATGTGGGAAATTTTATGCTGCACCCATTTGATTCATGTAGATAAAATGTCTGAAATATTTGGCAACAATAACTCAAGCAAACATCGGGGAGACCTCCAAACTTAAAGCCCTTATTAAAAATATTAAAATGCTTTAAAGGAATAGTTTTGGGAGATGTGCTTATTCGCCGTCTTGTTAAGAGTCAAATAAGAAGATTGATGCTAATCTCACATGTGTACGCTAAAGGTGAAGCTACAGAGAAGCTACCCAGAATGTCTAATAATTCCTTTCTTTGAGGTTTAATGGGTTGTTATCTTGTGTCCCATATAAAATATATTGTGTATAACTTTCAGAAATCTTCAAAATAAAGGCTAAAAAAAACATAACTGGATATTTAAATCAAAAAACTATTTGATTACAGGTTTAAAGTATTTCCTCATGTCAGAGTGACTGGTTGATATGATATTAAGTGAAAGGCCATATATAACTGTCCAACTCTGACACAAACCGTAGAAATGCATTGAAGAAAAAGAAATTTACACACTTGCATGTTAGACACACACATTGCATGACTTCCTAGGACCAGCAACAGTTTGTATGTTTCTGCAGACAGAAGCGGGGGGGGGGGGGGGGGGGGGGGGGGCTGACTGAGCCGGCGAGAATCTTGCACATTCTCCAACTTTAAAGCCACTAAAAGCAGCTCTATTATTCAGCATTGAAGTACTGTACTAAAGCAAGTTAATTATGTATAAGCCCACATGTTCCCATAATCTGCCCACTTATTCCAGAGAAGGAGAATCTCCTGGCTGAGGCGTTTACTGGGACAACTGTTCCTCTCCCGTCCTTTATATTTTATAAATCTTTTTCTGTCCCCACCTCTACCACTTGCATTAGGAGCGCGCACTGCGAGTCAGGATGGATCAGTCACAGAGGCCCTGGGAGCCAAGGAACTACTACTACTGCGTCTGTGTGATACAGCCGAGCGGAGAAAGCATCCGAGCTGATTTCTGACGCAGGAGCTAAAAGCGGACCGGCTTAGTGTTAGTGTTGGTTTGTTTATGTGATGGGATGGAGGAACATTCTGGGACAGTTTAAGGGTGAGTCACCAACTCAGAACGAAAAAAGGGGACAGTGGCTAAAAGCATTTACCGCGCAGGAGTGGAGCCATTTAGGAGCAGTGCAGGTACAGTAACAGTAAAATACAAATCGCTGTAAGACTGAAAATTACAACCTCATGCTCTTTGTGACCAAAGCTTTTCCTTGTTTGACATTTTTTTTTAAGTGTGAATAAATGATGCAGGGCTTGAATTTTGAAATTTTAATAGCGTGTTTGGTGCCATCTTTTTTTCTTTTTTTTTTTTTTTTTTCACATTTTCTCATCTTTTCACTTACAATCTTATCTGGAGGAGGTGTACTGGCTATGTAGCACTTCACCTCTCCTCTCTCCCCTCTTACTGCATACTGGACTGGATCACTGGAGATGATGGGAGGACCTGCATTGGTCAAAACGACAGGACACGTGAGAGTATGTCACAGTAAAATACAGCAAACTGTAAAAACCTTACCAGGCCTATTCAAGAGGAAATTGTATGACTTTAAAAAATAAACGGCCTCCGCTTTGAAGACACAACTTTTTTTTTTTTTTTTTTTCAATTACTGACAAGCTGACCTTTTCGAAAGCATAAGATTTTCATCTACGAGCAGCGATACATTAAATTACGTGGCTGTTTTCTGACCGTTGACTGTGAGCGTGACCTCAGTCTCTCCTACTCCAATCCGTGGGACGATGGCCTTGCATACATACTGGCCGGCGTCCGCCTGGCTCACCGACTTCAGATACAGCTGGTTGCTGTTACTCAGAACCTGTGGGGGAGTGAAAAAAAAAATGACACAAATATAAACAAGGCAAATCTGCTAAACAACAGGAGGGGATAAACAAAACAAAAGCCCACATGCACATAAGTAGAGGAGAGGCTAATGCTCTATTCTACCTCCGCCTGTATACCTTATTATTTCATGTTGCGTATGTGGATGTCTGGCCTAATTTCAGCATATGTGTTATATGTACTACTCTGACCCCAACTGGCTAACAATGCAAACCTGCACATCTGCTTTTAACCAGTCACAAAGGTTTTGCAGTTGCCTAGCAACCACATCCATCAGAAAATTAGCTGTGTGAAAATTATGGCTAAATATGTAACCATCTAGCAAGAGAGAGAGAAATAGGTGAACAAGACGGATTATAGAGATGTAGGTGAAGGCCAAATCAGAACATAGTGTAAATGTCTTGTCTGTAGTCCTGGTATCTAAAACAAAATGCTACATTAGCTTAACATAAGTCAGTCCAATTAGAATTTAGACTGTATCCTTCCTCCATGCACCTGGAAATAGCTGAACTTGTGCCAGAAACCTCTACTATGCTACTCAAGTTAACCTGAGCAGACTGTTTATTAGTCAACGAGCTAGTGAGTCATTAGCAAGCAATGCTAACGTGTACATACACCTACTTGCCATGTCTTTAGCTTCTGGCAGGTGTAACACAATAGATGCTAATGACAAAACAGTGATGGTTAACGTAAGTAAAAACTGATTTTTACAAAACTCAAACTGAATTGAACTCAAAAATAGAACAAAGAGGCTAAAGTTTGACATTGTGGGAAATATACTTCTTTGTTTTCATTCTTTTCTTTTTTTTTTGCAATTCTTTACTTAGAGAAAAACTGAGAACATCCGACCAAGAATATTAGAAGTCAGCAGCAAATGAACAGCAAGGCCTAGAACCCTTCTTTTCTCAACTTGCTTTCTATAGACAATATGTCACACATACCTACATACACAAATATGAACTTATACCATTTCTAAATGTCAAAAATGGTTGTTCAAGACCACCAATATGGCTGCCAAACAGTGTATGATGTCATCTTAAATCCTTATAAACTTTGCCCTGTGTTTCTGCCGCCACATTCAAATTTAGTAGGACTACATTACACATATTATAATACAGGATAGAAGGACTATATTACAGTCAGTCAAATCTAATTCAACCTTTAGTGATAAAGGAATATTGGAAAAAAAGAGAAGCTGAAAATGAAAAAAAAAAGAGATTATGACAGGTTAAAAGAGAAGAGATATCTAGGTGTGCAGACAGGGTAACACTCAGGCTGCTTTTGTAAACACAGGATGACGAACTGTAAAAATAGTGTGAACGCAGCAACAGAGGAAACATGTGTAACGCGTGGGCTCTTAGCTCCTTACCATGTTTGACCCCTTTTTGAACCAGGTGAGCGTGAGCGGAGGGTTTCCAGCCCATTTGCAGTTGAGGGTGACATCAGAGTCGACATCCACTGTTTTTGGCTGCGGCTCCACCAACAGGATCGGACCGACTGGAGACAAAAAGAAAGAGCGAGAGGGTTGTTCTTTCTTGTGTTTGAGTAATAATGCAGTAGGACTAAAAGAGGAGATGCTGCTGAGAGAAAAGAAACACAACAAAGGTGTGTTTTATCCTTCTGACTCCAGACTGTAGTGAGTGAAGTGGGCCACAAGTGATGGAACGAGGTGAGATGAGTGTTGTGTGACTCACCGGTAGGGCTGAACGATACGCAAAATATAACGTGATCATTTTGACAGATACTGCGATATGAGTCAGGATTTTAGTAACTCACAGTGCACGTCAACCAGGATGCTGACGTTGGTCTTCCCCACAGCGTTGAAAACCAGACATGAGACGGGCTCGGTGAAGAAGGAGTGGTCCGCCTTGGTGGTGAACACACTCTCCCTGGCACCCTGCAGCACCACGCCACCCTTGGCCCACCTAGGATTTAAACACACAACATTTAATGCACCCAAAAAACATACATATATTTATATGAATATGTGACACAAATAGAATCCACAAAAATGTTGAAACTCTACATGTATTTGCATGTTATGGCCAATTCATGCAGATTTAAGAATACCAATCTTTTCACAGGAAAAGAAAGAAAACACGTATGGAAAACCTGTGTTTTAGAGCTAAATCAAAAAAGTGACACAGCATTTCTGTCATGCAGTTTGGACAGGTAACTGTTGCTTTAAGAGGCCCGTTGAAAACGAGAACGTGCTTGTATGTGGACGCAGACCTGTAGCCCATAATAGGAGGGTTGGCGTGAGCCTGGCAGGTGAAGGTGACTCTTTCCCCCTCCAGGACAGAGCGAGGCTCAATGGACAAGGTAACTGTCGGTTGATCTGGAAGAGAGAGAGAGAGAGAGAGAGAGAGAGAGAGAAAGAAAGGGAGAGTCCCATAAAACAGCATTACTACATCTAATGTATGCTTCAATCTGGAGGATAGGTTAATGCAAAATGGCTGCCGTGTATCACTTAGTAATAGCTATAAAGACATTCAGCCTTTTAATGAGCCAGATGTGATAATAACAAGTTATGTAGTCGTAGGAAAGGTAACATAATTGTTTAATGGTCGTGTAATAAGTCTTTTCTTTTGCCATATAACTATATTTCATTGTGGAAAACTATAATATATTAAAAAAGAAACGATATCACATCGTAGCAGCATTGCTTACGGTGGACGTTGAGGGTGACAGTTGTGCTTTTGCCGGTGGGAATAGCCAGGTTGGTGGCCACACAGCTGTAGTTCCTCCCAGTGTCGGTGTCCACGGGCTGGATGGGCAGGTAGCTGCGTGTGGTCACCCTCTTCCTGTCTGGAAGCACCTCCTGAGGGGCGGAGGAAGACGGACAAAGGTTAAAAAAAAAAGAAAAGACAAGACAAGATGTTGTAACAGTTCATGAACCTGTGCGTTCAGTGTGTCTGGGTGCACGTGTGGCTTCGACATACAGTGGTGCTGGCAGCCCCATCCACAGGCAGACCATCTTTAAGCCACTCGATCATAGACGGCGGTTTGGCCCCGCGAGACACGCAGCTGAGGTTGTAGGACTCCCCCGCATTCAGCAGCACCTCCGGACCCCCATCAATCACCGGGTCATCTGGGGGGACTGGAGCAGGAAGAGAAGGGCAGTGTTAAAGAGACAACAGACAACATCTCAGGTTGACACGCACGCAGACGCACATGCGCTCAGACGTACTGAGGACGGTGAGTTTGGCCCTCCTGGACCTCAGCGCGGCGTCGGGGGCCTGACACTCGTACAGGGAGTCATCAGACAGATCAGCTGACAGGATCTCCAGGTTGTATTGCCCCAATTCCTGCACACGCAACACACGGTACCTGGGCCAGGCTGGAACACACACACACACACACACATAGGAGATTAACAGTTGAATTATAACACAACACAAACATTTGGGTGTTTTTTTTTAATAACAATTTTAAAGTTACATTATTATCATGATACTTTACTTTCTCCTACTGTTAGTCCTCTGTGTTAATGCTGTTTTTAAGTGAATCTTAAGTCACTATATCTTCAAATACAACATCCCGTCTCAGGATCCACACACAGCTTGTTGCAGTTCATGCCGATAAGACAACAACAGATCTGTGTCACGCACGAAGCAGTAACACGACTTTTTCTTCATCAGGGTAAATGACACCAGAGAGACGCGAGGCCACATGATGCCAAAGATGTGCACAAACACAAACGCATGACCAAACATACACATTCACACACACACACACACACACACACACACACACACACACACACACACACATGCGCGCACTCACACACAACACGGCCTCTCCAGTCCTCTCTTTCCCTTCCCCCATCCACCACACACAGCCCCAGCTGTGTCACTGCTGTACATTCTCACCATTAGGTGGCACCCACGCTCTCTTTCACCATTGGGGGGGGGGGGGGGGGGGGGGGGGGGGGGGGGGGGGGATGAATGCATTATGACAACAACGTTTTAGAGGACTCAAACCGACTCCAGTCCATGGTGCAGAATTCATGTTTGCTGCCCAGACGTAGATCACATGTGAAATTCCCCTGCCGCTGTTTCCATGTGCGGCGTCTGAACTGAGCCGTGCCGCTTGCCTAACCTTGTGTGTCCTTGTTCCTGCATGCGTGTGTGCATGTGTGTGCCCCTGTATATGCGTGCATTTGCATGTGAAATGTGGAGAGCGAGAAAGCGTATGAAAAGCCCAGAGAAAGGGGGGGGGGGGGGGGGGGGGGGGGGGGGGGGAGAGGCTCATACACAAACATACACACATGCACACCCACTGGAGTGTATGTGTGCATGAAGCGGCCAGTGCTCATTCACATGTTTTTATTTAAAAGCTTTGGCTTGAAGCACTGGACCATTACAGTAACAATATGATTAAAAGAGGGGAAGGCAGAGACAGAAAGAATGGAGAAGGGGACAGGCGAGGACAGAGGGAAGGAGAGGAAGAAGGGAGAGAGGGGCTGACAGAGAGAGGAGAGCCTGAACTGAGAGTGTGTCAAACAAGATGAAGGTAAGAGAGAGAGAGAAAGAGAGACAAGGCAGAGAAGTTAAATGAAGAATAGTAGAGAGGGCTCAGTACAACAGAGGTACAAGAAAGAAGGAGAGCAAGAGGGAGAGAGGGGAACAAGGGATCTCAGATGAGGAGGTCACAAAGGAATAGCATGACAGACAGGAGGAGTGGAGTGGAGAGGAGAGGAGAGGAGAGGAGAGCGAAGAAGAATGGTGAAAAGTAACAGAGGAAGCAGAGGAACAGGAGAGGAAATTAAACAAAAACAAAAAGAAAAACAAGAATATTAAGCACAAAAGTCTGGGAGAAAACAATAAGACAAAACAAATACAAGGCAACAGCATGTCACAAATGATGCAGGCTCCCTCTGGACCAATCACTTCAAAATATGCCCACTTGTTTTGACCGGTGATTGCACAGTCCCCTTTGGGCTAATCAGTGCAATTCTGCAAATGCTGCGATGCAGCGATTGGAGATGCATCATTCCCCCAAGTTTTGTCAAAGTCGGAGAAGCTGTGTCTTATTACTGTCGCTGACAGACGGAGGAAAAGTGGCGGACTTAATAAATCAAACTCAAGATTTCATCACTTGGGGACAAGAGAAAGACCAGAGAGGAGGAAGCGCAGAGAGCTGAGGGTGATATATTAGTCGATGAATCTGCCTTTCAATAAAAATCAGATATCAGCCAATCAGTATCACCCACTGCTTTTGTGACAAAGGTGATGATGTGATGCTCCTCGACCGAGTTGCCCGAGGGAGCGTAGAATTTCCCTTCAAAACATTTGAGGGCATGTGCAGGAGGCAGCCAAATTTAACATCGACCTAAACAAGTGCACAGTGTGTCACAGTGTGATGTGATGGGATGGCTGCTGTAGTAGTTAAGCTGTCTTTCAGTAGCATGACAGCCTCCATCATCTCCTGGGAAAAAATGCTCCGTTGGCTCAATCTAGCTGTAACTAAAACAATCAGCAACAAAAAAAAAAAAAAAAAAAAAAAAAAAAAATTGTCAGCATACATTAGCCACCGCAGTTACAAACACGCAACGTCATGCAAACACTGGTCTGGCTGTGTATGATTCAAAAATGCTGCAAAAGAGTTCTGCTTTGTTAGCATTTGGGAAAAACCAAATGCTAACAAAGAGCAGTGTTAGCTCTGTCTCAGTAAAAAACTCTTTGCAAAATTATCTGCTGATAAAAAGATGTTTTTTGTTGGACTGTAGATCAAATGGTAGCCAGTGGAAATGCAAAGCCCAGCAAGTCTGTAATTCTGGGGCCAGAAAAAACAGTCATAGGAAATGTAACTATTCACCTTACAGAGGTTCATTACAGTTACTCAGCTTCCATTATGACTGTTTCGCCTCCCTGTCTCTTAAGGTTCAATCATACTTGATTTAAACCAGTGGTTCCTGCGTACCCGCATCGCCCTGCCACATGAGCTTAGGTTTCCTGTCATTGGGGCTGGGTCGAAGAAATCGATTCTCCAATTCAAATATAATAACCCAATATTGATTCGCCTTTCATTATTTTAATATGAGCCTCATACGGTCTCCTCTGAATGTGTGATAGTCTCACGTGACCACCCTTCTCGCGCAACGAGATCTGGTAATGCGAAGAGACAAAAACATGGCAGGCGCAGCTCCACCGAAGGCGCCTGCGAGTCTATGTGTGGTTGCTCTTCACATTTAAAAACTATGGAGAGACAGCGAAGAGCTGGACAAAATCAGAGCCATACGCAAGATGTGCAAGAAGAAGCCGTCGGTACACACTGTAGCCGGTGCACCAGGCTAGATTAGATCACATTATTTACCTGTCTATTATTTCTTCAGATGTGTGTCTAAAACTGTTGGTCATGTTAAATAGAAAGTGCATTAATGTAACTTCTTTGCGTCCATTCTGCGTCCAAATATACATTTTGAATAATGCACCAGGTTAGCAGTTCAATTTACAGCATCACTTCCTCTGAGAACCACAGTCATATCTAAGCAACATGAATCGGGACCTTGTGAATCGGAATTGAATCGATTCTAGAAATCAGTGGCAGATTCCAGCTCTACCTGTCATCGTCACCACCAACTGTGTTTGTTTTTTATTTACTTAACACTATTTTTCACTTTTTGCTAACTCTGCCAACTCAACTTGACCGCTCTCTTGCTAACTAGCCTGCATGCACTTGGCATGGTGTTAGGGTGTCAGCCTACTGTAGCTGGTGGTTTTGTGGTAGTGTGACAATAAAAATACTGCTCAGGTTAGACTGTACCAAGCATGTCAAAGGCTTTGTATGTCCCTCTGCACCCTGAAATGCGGTACTGTATAACAGGATAAATGAGTGAATGGCGTAGAGTAACAGAAAGAAAAAAAAACTTCTCTAGCTCTAAACATGCAGCATAACATTTTGCCTATCAGCTGCTCCCATCCAATGATATCATAATCAGCTTTGAAAAGCCCGTCTTAGTCACTTGCTGAACACAGTGAAGGAAGCCTGGGGAGGCTTTATGATGCCTCACCCTGCAGGTCTTCTCCGATGCCCAGAGCCAGGCCATCTTTGGTCCACTGAACAATGCCCGAGTAGTTGAAGACAACACAGGACAGGATCACCCTCTGGCCCCGCACCACCGACTGGTCTGCTGGCTCCTGAGAGAACCTCGCTGTCCACACTGGAGAGATAGAGGAGATTGGGGAATAAAGAGAGGGATAGGTTAGCGACTTTCTCGTGTACACACTGCAGGAAAGTTTGTGCAAAAATAAAAAAAAAAAAAAAAAACCCAAAAAAACAAAAACAAGGTTATAGCATGTTATTGTATCTTTGGTTTTGTGGTTAATTGATTAGTGACTGCGTTTCCCTCCGGCAGCAGTGGAACGCCATGATTGCCACCTTTGATCACATGGTGGCTTGCGGCCATTAACCGTAGCACCGAGGAGTGAGGAACGGCACGGAAAGACAGAGGTGTCGAAGAAGAGGAAATCAGAACAGAGTTGGGGGAGAAGAAAGAGAGAGAACGAAGAGGAAGAGGCGGTTAATGCTGACTCAGGAGAGAGAGGAGCTGGGAGATCAAACACACAACTTCAGCCATAGGGTCTCTCACACCCCTTTTCTTCTCGCTCCTGACTTTTATTTCTTCAAAACTCTCCGTCCCTCCCTCTCCTCTCCTCTCTTGTTTCTCCCCTCTTCATTCCTCCCTATGAGTCATCTCACAGGCTTCCACTCCCCAAACCAAAACTACAGTGGCTGTCATTGTCTACTAGACTCTCTCCCTCCAGTCTGTAGTCCACTGCCACAGCAGATAGCCCAGCGCCGTGCTGGCCCACCGACCAACTGTCTAATACCAGGGGAAAAAAAAGAAAAAAAAAAGACCCTCTCTGCTATTGTTCCACACTGTATGATGACAAGTTGTAATTAGCTGTCCCTTGAAGACATGACACTCGTATAATAGAAGAGAGGCAATCACTGTGGAGGATTTGCATCTCCCTTTAAATTTTCATACTCTCCATTCTGTCTCTCGCTTTCATTTTTCTCCTCTCTCCCACTTGTTATTTCGAAGAATATCGTACAGTAGATCATTAACCCAATGCTGCATTGTACACCCCCCCACCCTCCTCTTCCTCCTCCTCCTCTGCCATTACCTCTCTCCCTCTGTTCTCTCTCTATAATGTTGTATGTCCTTTACCCAAATTGCTTTCCTTCACTCTCTGCTTTTCCCTCTATATGTATGCATCCCCACTCGCCTCTTTCACTTGGTACATCTATAATGCTGTCTATGAATGTCCTTTTGCCACTCTGATTTTCCTCTACCTCTCCCTTATTCCAGTATGTACATGCCTCCTTCTTTCTATATACATATATAATGCTGTATATGTCATTTTACCCATAATGCTTTCTATTTCTGTGTTCCTCCTCCTCGCTGGTTGGAAGGGGGTTAGAGGCGGACTGTCACAACTCATTTATCACATTAAATATCAGCCCTCCAGCACTTTCTCTCTCCCTCTCTTTTTCATTCCCCTGTTCGCCCGTCCCTTTCTTCTCTCACTTTTTCCCTCACTCCCCTTTCTTCACCTCCTACCATTTACATCTCTCCTTCTCACTTGTCCTCTCCACTTTTTTTATCACTTGTTTTCCCTTACCCGCCCTCTCTCGTTCCCTTACACTTCTCCCTCAGAGCCCTCCAGCGCTTTTCTGAAGGTTCCCATCTCTCTCACTTTTTTTTAACAACTGCCATATGCCTCTGCACCCCACTGCCCACCCCCCACCCCCATCATGACCCTCAGTCCCTATCTCTCACGTTACCCCTCCCTTTTGGTTTACACGGACATGCACTCTCCCCCTATCATGTTAGATTTGGTGTGATCTGCAGAGGTATAATACGCCTGATAATACAAAAGAACCCAGTCATGCAAAAAGATTCCCTTACCAATCACAACAATGGCTTCTGACATTAATATTCTGAAGATAGAGGAGTTGGTAAAAAAAAAGGGGGGGAATCAGATGCAGATGGAGCTTTGGAGCATGCATACCTAGAATAATTCAGCAGTGAACCAATGAAAAAAACAACAGAGGCCCTTAATTTGTTCCCTGAGGAACGCCCAAATTAACTGGATTAATGAATTAAGATCAACAAAGCAAACAACATAGCAACAGCCATTTGGCTATGAGAAGTTTGGAGGTAAAACATGTCAAATGAGTCACAAAGATTTAACTGAAAACACTATGAAAAGGCATCACAAGAGTACGTGTTTTCACCAGCCGGCAACCACATTAGTTCAGTTATATGATTCTTCCAATGGCTACAAGAAGCTGACTGTATGGAGGTACTACCAACTTATTTCTAGCAATACAAAATCAATATATTTCTTACACTAAGTTATGGTTGGTTTATTTGACTTCATTTCATGTGTGTCTTGGTGAAGGTTTTTGAAAATGATGAGGAGATTAACCCTTAGAAGGCCTAAAAACCTATCTTTTCAATCATCCTGTTACTATGAAGGATGGGACCCTACGTGCACGAACAATTTTCTGCCAAAATTACTAACAGTTTGGTCATTTCGCATGAAAAAACTCTGTATTTCCTTTTATTCTTTGTGCTCCTGTTACTGGTTTTTTTAAGGGGTTCAGATAGTAAAAAGCCATTGTCCATGCACAGAGTTTTTGAGTGTCGGATTTTTAATAAATAATACTTCTGGGGTCGATGACTACTACCCAGTTTACTGCTCCCTGCCCCCTACTCAAACTTACATTAACTGGCTTCAAATAACAGTAGGAGTCCAAAGTGACTTCTTCAAATTCACCCAATAATAATTTGCCTTGATTTGTTTTAAATGACTCATTGTTTCACACACTATTTTTGCAAGACGTAAGTCAACATGCAATAACTGACTGTTTTCTGCAGATGAACCAAGATGTAAACACAATCCTAACATGTTATCTATTTGAAGACGATAAGGCTTAACATGTTAGCAAGCAGTCGCGTATTCAGACATTCAGCAAATCCAGGGGGACTCCGGAGTCGGGTGGTAATTCTCTGTGGGTTTGTTAGTGTTAGTGTTCCCTTTCATGAAGTGGTAATTGAGTTGGAGAATTCATAATTAGCGAGATATTTTAGAAGAATTGCATTATAAACAAAGGGTAATTTTAGAATTTTTTTTTCCTTCATTTCCTATATGCAGCCAGTAATGTAATTACTGGCACATACAGCGTGGATTTATACCATCTTAAAAAGCATGAGAAGCCTTTTCTCAGCTATACATGGGTGTAAAGAGAGTTTAGCTGGGTTTAAACTACCCCGCAACCTCGACAGTAGCCTGAGGGCAAGCAAATCCTCTCCTCCACCACCTCAGATATGCTAGCTGGAGGTATTCCCTCAACTGCCTCAGTAAACCACAAACATAATCCAAAGTGAATACTCCTGAGTGGAGGCTACACAATCTGTGGAGAAAACACCCATGCAAAAGGCTGAGGACTGAAAACACTGACTCATTTAAACATGTGCTCATCGCCTTCTGATTTCCATATTACCCAGTTACCACTTGTCAACACGGTGTGTGTGCTTGTGTCTCTCTGTGTGTGTGTGTGTGTGTCTGTGTGTTCAAACAAGGAAATCTACACGCAGAGAGCAGCCAGAGCAAAGGCAAGGCAGAAGGAGTGTATGCGAGGGAGCTTGTATTCTTTCATTATGTGGGTTATGCTGCAGTGACAAATTTAGAGTGTGTCCTGATTTCCTTGAGTCACTGATCCCCAAGATACCACCAGGAGACTCCAAGCACCCTGTCCACACAAAGACCACGGTCACAAAGAGCTGTGACCATGACCATGTGCACATGGAAACACACACACACACAAAAAACAGGCAGCACAGATGACCTAACCCTCACCACATGGGCTAACCATTTCCTGTCAACACACACACAAACATAACCAGCCTAAACCCCAAACATATAATCGACACATAGAGGCGGTTTCCTGAACATAAGATTACACCACGACTCGGACTAAACCGTCAAGCCGGCGGAGCATCCCCGTCTCCGTTGGGAACGGGTCTCAGTTTAGTCTGGGATTAAATACAGCCCTAGTCAAAGTTTGGAAAGGGATTAGGATTAATCTGGGGCCGAGGACAACAGCCCCTGCAGACACTGTGACACCAACCTCGGCTTGTCAAAGCAGACACAAAGCCAAAGGCAAGCACGCACTGCCTCGCCGGGTGACTCACCAAAAGCATGGCCACACGCCGCCATAGTGTGAACCACCACAGCAATTTAGCCCGAGAGCACCTCTCGCACCATGCGATGCTGTTTTAATAGCAAGGTAATGAACCGTCAATTTGTTGCTGAAAATTACTGAAAGGGTATATGCATGCAAAGATGTTTGGGCTATTTTTAGCAAGCGTGCTGTTCATATGCCCTGTATTCCTTAATTTGCCACACACCCTGCTGTTTGGTGGTGAATGTCAAAGCTTGCTTTTCAGCATTTAAACACAGGCTTTGCCTCGCCTCTCTGAACGGGACAGGAGACAAGGTTGGAAGTGATGAGTTCTGGGAAAAGGTTCACTGGTGGCATTCAGCCTCATTGAATCAGATGCTATTAAATAAAATGCCATTTGTATGGATTGTTATGCATCGATCTAATTATCTTTGTGTCTGGCCCCCTCCCCATACCCCTCTGTACCCCTCCAACAAACCCCCACCCCCCCACCCCCTTGCCTTCCTCTCCCTCGCTCCTCTCCAGCCAATCCCGCGCTTCAGCTGGATCACAGACTTGCGTCACCATAGCAACAGCTGACGTGTAAAGTAACTGCCCAAAAAAAGTTTTTCTGTACGAGCGTGTCTGCGAGCGTATGTGCATCTGTGTGTCTGATGAAACCCTCCCTTGTGCTCGGTACACCCATTTTTCTGAAAAAACATTTTTCAATGACCTCATCCTCCCTCCACCTATCCAATTAATAGTCAGGCAGCCACACTGGTCTCTCATTATTTCTCTCTCTTTCACCCCCCCCACCCCATCCCCTCCCTCCCTGCCCCACTCTCCTCACTGTTAGTCAATCCGCTCCAAATTGATTTTGTTATCTGTCTAATTCCATATCGCCGCTGTGTGTGGCCGATGTGTTGGTGTTACGGAGGGGCTGCCTGAAAATGAGATGCAGGAAGGAGAGAACAAAGAGACGGCGAG